CGGAACAGGCCACCACCGGGATCCTCAGCGATGGTAGGAGGGGTATCCATCGGCGTCGAGTCGACGTTGAAGTACCTAGGACTCGTCCTCGACGGCCGATGGAACTTCGTTGAGCACTTCCGACGTTTGGCTCCCAAACTGGAACGGACCGGGGCTGCCTTCAGGCGGCTCCTGCCGAACCTGGGGGGGCCAAACGCCTCCTGCCGGAGGCTCTACGCGGGGATTGTGCGGTCCATGGCCCTTTACGGGGCCCCGGTGTGGGCGCGTGGTTTGGCGCGGCTTGCCGTCCACCACCTGAACGCGCCCCAAAAGGTGGTTGCCGTAAGAATGGCTCGCGGCTACCGCACGATCTCCCGCGAGGCAGCGTGCCTCCTTGCCGGATTGCCGCCATGGGATCTGGAGGCGATAGTCCTCGCGCGCCTACACGAATGGCGCGCGGAGGCACTATGCCGGGGGGAAACCCCGCTGCCGCGGCAAGTTGTCGTGCAGCGGACAGACTTCCGGCATGATCTCATGGCGACATGGAGAGAGCGACTGTCGCAACCCCGTGCTGGGCACGCCACTATAGCGGCGATAAGACCCCTCTTTGAGGAGTGGCTTGAGAGACGCCACGGCGTCCTCACCTTCCGCCTGACGCAGGTTCTCACCGGACACGGTGTGTTCGGGAGGTTCCTGCACCGAATCGGGCGGGATTCGCCATGTCCGTCCGTCCGTCCGCAGTTTTGCTCAGAAGCCCTAGGTTCTATAAATCTGTAATTTGACACAGTTATAGATATTAATCACGCCTAGAAAACTGTGAAAAACATTTTTATTTTGGGTACTTCCCATACAAGTAAATGGAAGATGATTTTTTAACTTAATTCACTACCAACTAAACTGCTGTTTTTGGAAATGTGAAAAGTATATACAATTGTAGTGAAGTTAAAATGAAAACTATCACAGCTAAGTAGAATTAACAAATTAACGAGTAATAGTCGACCAACTTATAAAAAGCACTTGGATTAGTAAATTTTTTTTACAACTCTATAGAAAATGACCTAAATCTCAGGTAGATTACTAACTACACATACATACATTAATAACTTTGTAATGTTATTGTATACTGTTAAAAATTAACATTTTATGAAGAAAATTACTTATATGCATTACTACTATTAGCTCTACTTTTTCAATTGCGGGATAGATAGGGTATTATTAACAAAATCGAAAAGTTTTTTAAATATTTTCTGAATACCACTCCCTATAAGGCTGATTTTAAAATAAGTCCTTCAGTTACGATCTTCCTAGTTGGGCCCATTTTTAGTCGTTATATCGGTCAAACCGCGAAATCACTTACTAAGCTCATTATCAAGGAAGCCCACGTATTGTGACGAACCACAGTCCTCGTACAGTTTGGCTAAGTTTTACCAACTTGTACAATAATTTCATTTTATATTTAATTTATTTATTAGTGTTTTAATTTTTTACTCTGACAAAGATTGACAAAGCTGAAAAGAAAAAGTCACAAACTCATAAAACAATCGACATCTGCCATAAATATCAAGCCCTGTTAAATATGAAAAGCATTTATATTTTTAATATACCAAAAGTATTTAAAATAAACTCAATTTTCAATTCAAATACAGGTGCTTCAAAAATTAAAGAACAATAGAAAGCTTTTGTAAAAGGCAATAGAGGAAATATTGTATCGGAATTCTTATTAAAATCATTCAAAAGATGTAGATTCAAAGCGACGAGTAAAGGCTTTGTTATCAAAAGTTGAAACAGATTCCTGTTATGTTCGCACGCAATGCAATGCACTTCCATTTCTGTTACCGTTTTTGACGTTATTGTATTACGTGAGATATGTTGAGATATGTAATATATTTGTGTAGAATCATACAAGGCAAGGCACGTCACGTTATGTCAAGGAGTACGACGTACACATTGAACGAGAGTGCGTAGGTTTCATACAAGCTTGTTGCAACACACAGAGAGAGGAATTCATTCTACAGTCACACAGAGAGAAAATAACGAGATATTTAGGACTTCTGACGCAGACACCGTCTTATTTTCTCTGTTAGCTGCACTGTTCGTCGTGAGACTTCTAACTCTGGACTTGATGTGTTGCGAGACGCTTATATGAAGCATCCGTACTCGCGTTCACTGTGATATGAATCACATTTCACGACTTGTGATTTTTATGACCTAGAGGTCAAAGTAACTTGCTGCTACGCCTAGGGTACTGAGACTTATTTGTATGTAGCCATTAATAGTTTTCAGTAATACTACATGTGTGTTAGCTGCCTCTGTGACTGACACTGGATGCCTCTATTCTCATCATCAACCGACCAAAAAGGCATCATCAGGAGTCACATTAATATTATAGTTACTTCTAAAAGACACTGTAATATATTAAATTGAGTAGAACAGTCGAAAAAAACATCGTGATGGCGACAGGTCGTTAGCATGTTACTTTTAAAAAAATTATAATCCAGTGCTATTCCCACCCATCTCATCGTAAGAGGTGATGCAGAAAAATATGGCAAAGCGCACTGACTTAACAAAAGCCTAGCAACACTTACTTTGCACAGGAGAATAGAAACTAAAAGAAGAAGACAGATGCCTAAGAACGATTTCACTCCGTTGCTTTATACGACGAATCAAAACGTTTGATTCGAATGCATGGCATGTCGATAACAAAGGAGTGGAGCCACTGGTGGTCCGACGTTGAAGAAGGTAGAGAAAGTTAGGATAGAGACGGATTTCTCCAGCTTGATTTGTCCTGAATAATAATTGGGGGCGGCGGCTATTCCTTGCACACCGCGGTGAGTTTCGGGTTCATAGCTTTAATCGCGATCTTGGCGTCTTGGGGCGCGCTGAAGGCGCGGTTTTTTAGCCGGAGTGGCGTAAGGGGACGAAGACGGGAACGAAGGGGCCGAGTGAGGTTCGTCGTCCTTTTTCGCGGCTGGAGTGAAGGCGTCGTCTTCGGGCTTGGTGGGTTTTGCTACATCAAACTCCATCTCGGAGCCCGTCTCGGCGTCCGAGAACGCCGGGGACGGCCCACGGGTGGAGAACGCAGAAGGCGCGAGTGACGCTACGTCATATTAAGTGTCTACGGACACGGGGGTCGCAGGTCCGGTGTCCGGTGTCCGGTGTTGCGCTAAAAAGGTTTTCCAATCGTCAGGGCAGACGTGACTTAAAAAGACGGTGAGTTCGGCTATAGTAACAGCCGCCATCTTGCTTAAAGCTTAAAACGCGTATATACCAAGCCCCCCATACACCTCACGGCAGGGGAGGTGTGCGCTTAAGACGAACACCTATACCTATACCTAGCGGGTTAGTACGCTAGGGTGTGTACCTAGCTGTCGCCTAAAACGACAAGCGAACACAGAAATTAAAACAATAGAAAGCCGCCTCTGAGCAGGCAGATCAATAGTTTTGTCAGTAATTTACATTAAATGACGTCAACAGTTTATGCCTGGCCTTTTGAACTACGTCAAGTAGTCTACCTAAAAATACCTTTTCAGTTCTTATCTAAGCATTGCCAAAGTTTGCTAGCTTGGAAGATTTGGTCACTCTGGGTCACGCAAATAAGGGTGACAAACGAGCACCTGAGATTCGGCTTAATAGGAAGTGACACCTATTTTGATTAAGAACTTTATTGGGAACAAAAACAACATTTATCCATTGCAGTAATTACAAAAATTTAAATCTTCACATCTCTTAAATGGTTTAAAAGGAATACATAGCACAAACATAGCATTATGCTGCTATTTTACACTGGTATACTGCGCTAGGTCCTTCCCCGGTAGAGTCTATTCGTACTGTAGCCATAATCTGACACAACATGTCTCTATGATATTAAACTTATTTAAATTCCCGACGTTTCGAGTACTTTGGCAGCATCCAGCATGCATGCATAGTCATGAAAAACTCCAATCCAAAGTGTTCTATGAACTCGTAGTCTATCACATCTGTATAATATTGGGTAAGATTTCTAACACGGATAATTCGGGAGACCATTAAAAATTAAATATTATCCTTACTTGATAGATTGTAAGAATTATTTCTATATAAAGTTAGTACATCCAGATCCATTCAGATCGGATAAAAATAAATTCTTACAAGCTGAAAACTTAGCCTGGGTTAATCTGGCCTAGTAAGGACAACAATATACGGCAAAGTCTGCCGTCACTATAAGTGCTACGGAAGATATGGAAAAAGCCAGGGATTTAAAATAAGTCGAATGAAAGGATAAAATTAGTAACATTTGGTAAAATTAAAAATTTTGTACAACCGACTTCAATATAAATAAAATGAGTACATCATCAATGTAGTCGAAGTTAATTAAATACGCATTATTAAGATCACTAAAAAACTACTAGTCAAATATTGATCAAATTTAATAAGATAGATAATAAAATTAAAATCACGTGGAGTATAATTAATAGTGAAACTAGTAAGGTCAACTACCAATCAAGTTTCAACAACAAATAAACTAAATCAGATCAGGATATTGCAGTGGTTTTTGAGAAATATTTTACTGATATTCCGATCTTAACCACTAAGTCACTGAATTCTTCTCCTGCCGCCACCGAATCATTACTTAAACAAAATGTAAGTGCGTGTACAAAGAATTTTACATTTCATAGTGTACCATCAAAAGATATTGTAAAATATTTTAAAACTATTGATATTAAGAAAACTTACCATTAAAAATTTGAAATTGTATTTGTTTTACAGAAGAGAGCCATAAGAGCAAATTGAATGAAAAGTTTCTGTTTCTGTTTCTGTTTGAAGTCAGTTAAATATTAGTCATATTAACAAAGTTAACTGCAATATCTTGGGATTGAATGAAAGATGTCTTTCTCGTAACGGCTTTAATGGCGGACTGAGCGGTGACGTTACAATAATTAACAAATACCTTACACCTCCAGCCTTAAATATCTACATAATTATATAGCAATGAACTTAATAACTAGTTTTAAACTTATAATTTAACTAAGTATACCATTAATCTAACATTGGAATTTAATTACGGGTTTTCGGATTCGCCTGGAACGGGTCACTGGCCGCGACGGTGGCGGTGGTTGTGGATGAGTGGCGGGGCCTGGTACAGTCTCGCTGGGACATTGCGTATCTGCCACGTGCTCGGTATCCACGTCATCTTTTCCAGCCGAAACCGCCACCTCCGTTTGCAACTCTGAAGACGCATCTGCAAACTCATCCTCATCCTTTTCATCGACCTCATTAGTGATATCTGGACAGGTAACATCGGATAAGCGCGACCTACGTCTTATAATATGTCTTTTAATAAGTCGACCGTCACCATTGTCGAGAACGTATCTTCCAGAGCCTTCTTTCTGGGCTACCGTGCCCTTGACCCATTTATCCCGGGTGCCGTAGTCCCTACTCCAGACGGTGTCTCCCAAAGAGAAATTACGCGGAACACCACCCGCATATTCGACTTGACGCTGCTGAGCATCGAGCACACGCGCTTGCACCACGTACCCACCGCGAAGTAAATCCAACCGTGAACGCAAGGAACGTCGCTGCAGCAGCATCGCTGGGCTCTCACCCGTGGTGCTTTGCTTACTGTTGCGATAGCTTAGTAAAAAGGTTTGTAGGGCGGTATCAATATCTACGTCATCCCTATAAGCCTTTTTAATTGCCCTCTTACACAGCTTAACAGCATTTTCCGCTGCCCCATTAGATGCAGGGTGGTACGCCGGTGAAAACCTTTGCTGAATGCCATTATTTTTCAAAAAACTTTTAAATTCAATACTTGTGAAAGGCGGTCCCTGGTCAGACACTAGTTCTAAGGGCAAACCGAATCTTGCAAATATTGACCTCAGCACCTTAACAATGGAAGTCGCATTCGTTCGCGCTACTTCAATAATTTCAAGCCATTTCAAGCTCGAATCTATTAAAACTAAATAAGTTTTACCTTTATACGGTCCTAGGAAGTCTATGTGAACTCTAGACCAGGGAGGCAAGTAGGGCCAGGGGTTAGGAGGCGCGCGCGGCGGGGCGTCCGCCTCAGAGGCGCAGGTCTCGCAGCTTCGGCATAGCGCTTCCACATCCGCATCGATGTTCGGCCACCACACATAACTCCGTGCCAGCCCCTTAGTTTTCACAATACCCATGTGGCTGCTGTGTAGTTGTTTTAAAATAATTGGACGTAAATATGAAGGTATTACGGTACGCAATATGAATTTTCGCCCATAAAGATACTGATGATATTTTCTTACACCGAACACAATAGCGAGCGCCTCCCGATCGATTTGCGAGTAGGCTCGCTCTGCAGCCGTGAGCGAGCGCGACGCATACGCCACCGGCCGCTCGCCCTCTGGCGTCAGGTGCGAGATCACTGCACCTACACCCACGCTACTCGCATCACACGTCAGCACAATAGGCAAATCGCTAGAGTAATGCATTAGAATTTTACTAGAACTCAATAGTTCTTTTACCTTTTTAAAGGCTTTGACAATCGTCACACCAATCAAATTTTATTCCCGTACGCAATAAATTATATAAGGGTGCGAGAATAGTGCTGATATTTTTTACGAATTTTGCATAATACATTATCATTCCTATATAGGCCCTTAACTCAGACACGTTCGAAGGAACGGGAGTGTCTACTATTGCCTTAATCTTATCCGGACAAGTGTGAATACCATCCTTACTAATTACATAACCTAAGTAATTGACTGATTCAGCAAAAAATACATACTTTTCCTTTTTAACTCGAAGTCCGTACGACTGCAAACGGTCAAATACTTTATGTAAATTACTAATATGCTCCTCTGTGTTGCGCCCTGTAATAATTATATCGTCCAAAAATACGCCTACATACGGTAGATTAAATAATTGCTCTAAATGTTTTTGAAAAATGCCAGGGCTTGATGATAAGCCGTATACTAAGCGGTTATACCTAAACAAACCTTTATGTGTGTTGATCACCGTATATTTGGCAGATTCGTCAAGTACAAATTGTGCGTAAGCTTGTGAAAGGTCAATTTTACTGAACCTCTGCCCCCCTTGTAAACGTACCAGTAAGTCTTCTACTCTAGGCAAAGGATAACGGTCGACTTCTATAACTTTATTTAAAGTTAACTTATAATCGGCGCAAATCCTAATGTTACCGTCTTTTTTCACTACGGGCACAATGGGAGTCGCCCAGTCGGAGCGGTCGACGGGTGTGAGAATCCGTCCGCCACCAGCTGCTCGAGTGCGCGCTCCACGGGTGCACGCAACGCATAAGCCAGCGGACGCGCTCGCATGAACACGGGCTGCGCTCCCTCCCGCACACGGATGCTCACCGGCGGCCCAGTGAACCGTCCCAGGCCGTCCGCGAACACCTTACAATATCTGGAACTGAAATCGTTTAAGTTAAAAACATCATTCGATAAACAGTTTAAGCTTCCAAATGGGGGTAACTGTATATTGAGTTCTGCCAACCATTGTCTGCCTAACAATATACTTTTACCATTTTTAATAACATATAAATCGAGATGCTTTTCTTTATCTTTGTACTTTACTAAAGGCCTTATCACACCAACAGGTTTCACTTGTTCACCCGTATAGTACCTTAGCAACAAAGGACACATATTCAGTTTTAGGTTACTGAATTGTTGTTTATATAACTCGTAGCTAATACATGAAACGGCACTGCCTGTATCACATTCCATTTGAACATCCCTACCGTGTACTGTTAATGATATAAACAATGGTTTGTAATGACTAACGCTTAATTGATTAATGCAAACCATTACCTCGTCACTTCCTTCACTGTTTACTAAACTGTCAGTCTCACTCTGCACCACGTTGAGGCTGTGTTGTCCTGCTAGATAAGGATACATCCTTTGTAAATGCCCTTGTTTATTGCACACTCGACACACGTAGCGAGCAAACTTGCAGGTCACTACATCGTGTGCATTACCGCACGCGCGACACTCGCGCTGGTGTCGTCGTCGATCATCCAGCACCGATGTTGATACCCTCGGCCCGGTGGGCGTTGCTGCTGCTATCCTGGATGCTCTGCCACGCATCCTGACCTCGCCCTTACTGCCCGCGCGCCGCTCGCCGTCACAACCGATCGCGCGCCCGGTCCGTCTTGTACTGACCATCGCGTAGCAGTTTGTGGATGCGCTCGAGTCTCCAGATATTCAGATGCACATCGACGCTGGCTGCATCCTTCTCCGCCGCCTCCATACTCACGGCTAATTGATAAGCCTTGCCAAAGTCTAGTTTGCTTTCGGCAAATAATCTCTGCCGAATTGTTTCACTACTGATACCGCATACGAACTGATCGCGCAAACTTTCTTGCAACCAGCTACCAAACTCGCAAGTTTTCGACATTTTCTTTAGGTCCGTTACATATTCTGATATACTTTCACCGTCCCTTTGTTTTCTTTGTCGGAATTTAAATCTTTCAGCCAGCTCGCTGGGTTTTGGTTGAAGGTAATTTTCCAAAATTTTTGTTAGCTCTAAAAACGTTTTTGATGTGGGTTTTTCCGGGGTACACAAACTCACGAGTAGTTCATAACTCTCCGCCCCCATAACCGTGATTAATGTAGGTACATGTAGCTCACTTGATATTTTGTTCACAACAAAGAATTGTTCGAGCCTTTCCACATATAGTTTCCAATTGTCTGTGGCCACTTTAAATTCCGATATTTTACCAATCGACATGGTTTAGGCCGGTTAGCTTATACACACGCGAACTTTTACGATATATATTTATTTTTCTTTTTTTTTTTCTCTCGTCGCCAATGCAATATCTTGGGATTGAATGAAAGATGTCTTTCTCGTAACGGCTTTAATGGCGGACTGAGCGGTGACGTTACAATAATTAACAAATACCTTAGATTAACATATTCTTCCTGACGCCCGTTTCTTGTTACATCATCATCATCATCATCATTACAGCCTATCATAAGTCCACTGCTGAACATAGGCCTGCATATGCCTGCCACCTGCATCTATGGACTTCCTGCATGTCTTACCAGGTCATTACTCCATCTCGTGGGGGGTCGCCCTACACTTCGCCTACCGGTACGAGGCTGCCACTCAAGAACCTTTCTTCCCCATCGGTTGTCGGTTCTTCGAGCTATATGGCCGACCCATTGCCACTTAAGCTTACTAATCCGTTGGGCTATGTCGGTCACTCTGGTTCTACTGCGGATATCCTCATTTCTGAGTTTATCACGTATAGAAACTCCGAGCATAGCCCTCTCCATAGCTCGTTGAGCGACCTTGAGCTTCCTCATACGGCCAGCAGTGAAGGACCACGTCTCAGATCCGTAAGTTAAGCTGGCAACACGCACTGGTTGTACAATTTCGTTTTAAGATTTTGAGGTATGTCTGACGAGAAGATGTGTCGTAGTTTCCCGAACGCTGCCCAGCCGAGTTGAATCCGTCGATTGACCTCTCGGTCGAAGTTGGACTTACCTAGTCGGACTATTTGTCCCAGGTAAACATACTCGTCAACAACTTCGAGCTTAGTGCTTCCAACAACTACCGTCATAGGTGTGACATGGACATTAAACATGATCTTTGTTTTGTCCATGTTCATCCTAAGACCTATTCGTTGGAAGACACTATTGAGGTCATTGAGCATGATGCTTAGGTCCTCCAGCAATTCTGCCATAAGGACTCAAAGGTGAGTGATGTACTTGCCATTAATGTTAATACCGTATCCTTTCCAATCCATAAGCTTGAAAACGTCTTCCAATGCAGCGGTGAAGAGTTTCGGGGATACAACATCACCCTGTCTTACACTTCTCTGCAATTGGATAGGTTTCGTACTCTGGTTCTATACTCGGATAGCCATCGTAGCTCTACTGTATAAACACTTCAGCACTTCGATATACCGACAGTCAACTTGACACCGCTGAAGGGATTGCAGCACCGCCCTAATTTCGACGGAATCAAAGGCTTTCTTATAGTCCACATACGCCAGACATAGTGGCAAATTGTACTCTTCGGACTTCTGTACAATTTGCCGAAGGGTATGTATGTGGTCTATGGTGCTAAAGCCCTTTCGGAAACCGGCTTGTTCGGGAGGCTGGAATTCGTCAAGTCTGCGCGCGAGACGATTCGTAAAAACTCTCGAAAACAGCACGTAGACGCGGCTCAGAAGGGAAATCAGTCTGTAGTTCTTCAAGAGAGCGTTGTCACCTTTCTTGAAGTACAAGTACTGCTCCACGCCTCCTGTGTAATGCCACCATGAAGGACGGAATTAAAGAGCTTCTGAAGGACTTCAAGTACTGATCTTCCCCCCGCTTTCATAAGCTCCGCTGTAATTCTATCCTCGCCTGGGGCCTTGCCGTTTTTAAGGTGTTGGAGAGCCATTCTAATCTCGCTCAGACTGACGTTCGGGTTATCTTCGAAATAGTGTCGGATAAGACTTGCTCTTGGATCGTTACCCACACTTGCATGTGCCTCCAACGATGACGTGTACGGCTGCCCATAGAACCTCTTAATCTCACTCAAAACGTCAGGTGCCCCGGAAACGATGCTGCCACACTGGGTCTTCAGTTTTGACAGTTGGCTCTTTCTGGCAGACAGATCTCTGGCAAATACTTTGGAGCCTTGGTTCCACTCGATCGCTTCTTCAATACAAGCTGTAGTGAAGTTGCGTAAGTCTCGCCGCATGCACTTGGAGATCTGTCTGTTCAGTTGCCTGTATGCTGTCATATCTGTTGAAGAATGTAGCTTCATCACCCTTCTAATAGCCATGAGATTGAGAGAGTGATCGGAGAGTTTTTGTGTTCTTCTGCGGCGGGTCTTGCAGAACTTAGCTCCGACCGCATGGACAGTTTCCACGAGCTTGTCATTCAAATCGTCCACTTCATTGCAGTCTTCTAGGCACTGAAAACGGTTTTGTAACTCGAGCTGAAAGGTTTCGGGACTTTGGATTAGAGCACGAGGGGGACGGAGCGTTGACTTCATTAGACGAGACCTCTCCAACTAAACGTTTAGGTTCAGTGTGCCTCTAACCATTCGGTGATCGCTGCCGGTTTTCACCCTCGCGATCACTGAGACATCACTGAACAGTTGTCGTCTGGTCGTCATAATGAAGTCAATCTCATTTTTTGTCGAACCGTCGGGGCTCGACCAGGTCCACTTCCTGTGGGGCCGC